TCCCTCCCACACACTGAACCCCCTTGGCCCCAGTCCAGTGAAAGTGAGTGACTGTGGGAAACAGCAAGACATGGAGGGAAATGGAGTGAGGGGTGGTGGTGCTACAAAGAAGGAGGGATGCAGAGGGGTTGTCCAATTGGACAGTTGGCAATCCTAGGATGCTGTACTACAAACTGCTGAGACAAGTGATGTCTTAACTGTTCGTATGTTTCAATATGAAGAAAAAACCCCACATAATGAAGCTAAGATTTGCTATTGACTTGTTGATCTGAAAATTTTATAAAAATGGAAATCAGCATCATATCCAATCTATATACTAGGGCTGTGTCTAGACTAGCCAGTTTTTCCGCAAAATCAGCTGCTTTTGCGGAAAAACTTGCCAGCTGTCTACACTGGCCACTTGAATTTCCACAAGAACACTGACGAACTCAATTGTTGTGAGAGATATTGAATGATATTTTTTACTATAATCACAACTCAGAAATGATGTTGTGTAGTTATTTATGATAAAACAATGCATCACAATGCTTTTCATGTCCGATTTTACCTGTCTTTTGGTGCTAGTTTTTCATATTATGTTATGATGCATTTAAGATATGCAATATTACATTGTACATAGAGTCTAAAATATATTTCATACATATGCATTTTCTATACATAAAACTGGAAGGGAAATATGTAGAAGAAATAGTTTAACATACATATTTCTGGAATCTTGATCACATTGGAAAGTTCTGAAGTTATATGCATAATTTAAAACTCAGGTTTTTCATTGACATGCTTCAGGAAGTTAAATGAGTTATTTGATTTCAGTATTGTGAAGTGCCTTTGATGAGAAAAAACATGGCTGGTAAAAATTTCACTCATCTTTTCAGTACATATTCAGGTAAAATTAATGTTAATTCAATTTCCAGATACAAAAACTTGAAGTTGATTTGAATTATATCATCAGAAAGAAATAATTTAAATTGGGATTTTGTCTGTTTGGTTGTTTATTTGCATTTAAACAGGAAATGATATCTCTTTGAGCCTAATTCTGCCCAAGATGTCATAAGTCCAAGCATAAGCTTTTTCTAAAGAGAAATAGTCATTCTCCAATTTTGCCATTTTGCATACTAGCTTACTTTAAGGAAAACGTTTCCACAAAGACCTAGAGGCCAATTTTTAGAAGTGCTCTCATTTTTGAGCTCAAAACTAGCTGAGCTAATATTCCAAGTTCAGCTACTACAATTGCACATACAGTTTCAATGAAGGCATGAAAAAATACACATCTAAGTAGCCACTTGTGAATGTGATTATCATATCCCTGCAATTGGTATTTTACATGCAAACTAAATGTGGATATTCAAAAGCTATCAAACTTCCATTCAGTTCATATGTTTTAACATAGCTGTGCAGTCACAGAAAATAGCTGTATTAATTCACTGTCCCAGTACTGATGTTAAATGAATGAAGTGAAACAGCTAACAGACAAAAGAATGGTATTAATTTCCGAGAACTCAATAGTGTTTCAACATTGGAATTTAAGTGTCCTGCATTGTTAGGCTCTAAACTACTCAGATTTTAAGTTTCAGCACAAAAAAAGTGTGTTTGTTTAAATTTTGTGTCTTATAACTCATACTTCTAGTGGCCATTTTAGATGAAAATGTATGTTATTATCTCTGTTTAGTCATAGATTTCATTATAGACCTATTTTCAGGACTTCTAGAATGCAGTCTTTCCTTATTTAAACATTTCCCACTTTAGATTACTGAAAATTAAAGACTTTCTAGTCTAACTGAAGCATTTAGTAATCTTTATATTTTATAAGGATTGATTCATGTCTTAGGTGCAAGTATTAAACCATTGATGTATTATATCCTAAGAGAATGCAAAGTAGAGAAAATGACTCAGCAATATACTTCAAATCAAAACAACTAAAGCCCATGTAAGTGTGGCTCTTTAATGATCAATCTTTAAAAATTCTTTCCATTTCAGAAGTTCTGTATCATCTCAGAATGAGATCTCTTGCTCAGCTCAGCAGGTAGGAAATGATTATGCCTAACATAAATCTAGGCCATTTGTACTGGAGAGCTTCCATTTCCATATGTAATTCCCTATCATGGAATCTTGCAAGACTTTTAGGCTACGTCTACACTGGCCCCTTTTCCGGAAGGGGCATGTAAATTTCACGAGTCGTCGTAGGGAAATCCGCGGGGGATTTAAATATCCCCGCGGCATTTAAATAAAAATGTCCACCGCTTTTTTCCGGTTTTTAAAAAAGCCGGAAAAGAGCGTCTAGACTGGCCCCGATCCTCCGGAAAAAGTGCCCTTTTCCGGAGGCTCTTATTCCTGCTTGAAACTGACCAGCAGTGGCTGAATCAGGACGCCTGGGGCAGAGCAGCTTGGGTGCTGCCGGGTTAGTCCAGTAGCGCCCAGAGCGGCGCTACAGGAC